TCAGCTGGAAGCTGTGCCCTTAGGGGCAGTAGCGTACCCACCCCTCCAGAGCAGCCCCCCAACCCCACACAGCCCCTCCACACCCACAGTCTCCCCACACCCACAACCTGCCCTACAATCCACCCTCAAGCCCCACACCCCCAAGCTGCCCCCACAAACTCCTCACCAACATACTCAGCTAAAAACCCGAAACATCCACACAAGATCCATACCCTCCCAAACCTCACCCCTACAACCCGATACACCCCTCCACCCAAAACCCAACATCCACCCCACAGATCTCATGCCCAGCATGCCCAGCCAGCCACATAGGATGGGATGGGACGGGACCTGCTGGAAGGAGGTGCGGTTGCAGGGAAAACTGCCACACTCCATCCCTGCCCTGGGCCCACACTGGTGCTGGGACATGTGGCCTCAGCCTGGGGGGGGCTCCTGGTCCCAGGAGCCACTTTGGGGGTGTGATGGTCTAGGAGGAGGGGTAGAGGTGGCAGCAGGAGTGGGTCAGAGAGAGATTGGGTTCAGGTGTGGGGGAGTGCTCTGGGTAGGAGAGGCCTCCATAGCCAGGCTTAGAAATCCCATGCCCCCCTAGAGCAACCTGTGCAGGGGGAGGCTGGTCTGAAAGGAAAAGGCCCCCTCAGTCCCTGATCCCCAGGCGAGGGCTTCCCAAGAACAGCATGAGGCTGGGAGCAGAACAGCAAGGGCTGGCACTGGTCAGAACTACAAAAAAGTGATTGGGACAGCTGCAGCTGGACTCATTTCCTAAAGGACTGCACCATCAAACCCTTGCTATAATCAAGATATATCAATCAATATATCAATGACATCTTCAATCAAGGTATATCAATATATCAATGACATCTGCAGGTTTTCAGTCCAAATGATGAAATCTCTGAGTGAGTTCCATCCAAAATTTAAAAATCATTATCCAGCTATCTGACTATATCTTGAATATTCCAGCACCAACAGCTCTTTTTTAGACACGATGATCAGTATCCAGAATGGTAAAATACAGAACATGGTATACAAGAAACCCACAGACCAACATATATATCTGCACAGAACCAGCAATCATCCTAAACACATCAAGAAATCTGTGATATACAGCCAAGCCCTCAGATACCACTGAATTTGCACTGAGGAGAACAACCAGGATTGCCCCCCCACAAAATCTTTAAAAGGCTTTCACTCAACAAGGGCATTCCTCCAGAGACAGAGATTGCATGTTTGAAAGAGCCACTTGGATACCACATGAAGAATTGCTGCAGTACAGAAGGAAAACTCCTGTGAATTGCACACCACTGGTTATGATATATCACCCCTCTCTTGAACCTATAGGGAAAATCCTCAAACAGTTGCAACTCATACTAGAAGCAGACCCAATTGTTAAAGAGATCTTCCCAGAACCACCCATCCTATCTTTCAAACAAGCAGCAAACCTTGCTAATCTCATCACCAGAAAAACTTCCTCAAGACCAGAACACACTGAATGGATACAGACTATGCCATGACATGAAATGCAAAACCTGTCAACACGAGAATAAGACAGAAGCTTCAGAGAAGTGCCAGTGTGGTATGTTGCACCTGCACCTCCAGAAATGGGATTATATATCTCATCCAGTGCACCAAATGCCATGATGGACAATACGTATGAGAGATCATACACAAACTGCACAGCAGAATGAATGCACACCATAAATCTATTAAAGACATGAATACCAAATTACTGGTGGGGGCATATTTCTGACAAGAAAACCACTCTCTTTCTCCAATCTCTCAGTTCTAATCCTCAAAGGGAATTTACAAAACACTTTTCACAGATGAGCGTATCAACTTCACTTCATCAACCTCCTGGATACAAAAAAATCATGGATTAAATTTAGACTTTGGATTTATGACACACTTTAACCTACAGGGGTGTGCAAAGTGGGCCATATTTGATTCAGATTTGGATTGGGACTGAATTGGGGACAGTGATTCACTGTTTTGATTTGAAACACTGTCCCCGATTCAATTTGGCTGAATCTGAATCTAAATATTCAATGCAAATTCAGAGAATCAATGATTCGGACATAGACACAGCTTTAAATGTTTTTTCTACATGCCTCGAGGTACCAGTGTGGCTCATGAATGCTGTGATGCTGGGGCAGGTGGGGAATCCGACAGGAGCATGAGGGGGTGGAGGCCCACGTGCTTGGCAGTGAACCTGGAAGTGGTGGCCTCTGGCTCAGCAATTGGCCATGGGGGGACCCCGGGTGCTGTCCCCAGACCCAGGAGGCACTAGCTGCCAAGCCGGGGGGGGTGGTCCCCTGGCGCACTCCCCAGCAGACCCAGAAATGGACTAGAAGTGCTTCTGGTCCATTTCCAGGTCTCCTGCTGAGCACACTGGGGAGCCCTCCATGCTCTTGTATGATGCTTCATCCACCCCAGAATCCCAGCATTCATGAGCCATCTGTTACTGAGGTATGTAGAAAAAACATGTAAAGCTGTGTCTACGTCTGAATCTCTGAATTTTTTCTGAATCGATTTGGAGGGTTCTGATTTAATTTGGAGATTAAAGGGTCTCCCGACACAATTCAGATTCAGAAATTCAGCCACTGAATTGGGCTAGATCTCCACCAAATCGAATCAGGGACCAAAGCTTTGCACAGCTTTGTCTGCCTAAGAGAAAGGGAATGGAATTCTGGTACCAGGGCTTTCTGTCTGACAGCCTCCCCTGAAACTGCAGACCCTACAAGCCCAGATTTATGGGTTATGAACCTTGGAACTAATGGGCATGTCTAGACATGCTATTAGTAAGCAGCAATACATTCCAGCATGAATCATTGCTTCCATGTGCCGTGTTTACATGTGTAACTGAGAACACAGCATATTGAAACAGGTTGGAGCAGCCTTGGCTGGCAGGGGCCTCAGAGGGTCAGCCAGCCAGCCTGGGGCTGCTGCTGTTGGCATTGGATTTATGAACCCATATACCTTGTTCCAAGTGGACCCAAACCCTCAGAATTACTCTGACTTCTCCATTCAATAACAGGCAAATTTTATTGATACACAGTGATAGTAAATAAGAATAATGTAGGCAAGGCAAACAAAATAACCCACCCCAATTCTATATCTACAAGTCATAGAACTGTCACAGAGGGAAGGTACACCTGGCCAGTACATGAGTTTTACCCTGCGGTTCTTTCTTGAATGTCAGATGTCACATGTTGAGAACTGAGACCTCCCCTCCCATAGTGGAGTGGGTGAGATGGGCTAGTGGTGTGCCTTATGTCCATGATGGTTTCGGGTTCCCCTCTTGGGGACCCTTTGCTGCTCTGAAATCTCTCGCTTTGTATCCCTTTTTCCTCCTATGCCTCTTCATCTTGCGGCATCACTGATTGGTTTCCCTCTGGATATCATACTGTCCATGTTCAGGTTCTGTCAGCATATTCCTTTGTTTCACAAACCCATCATATGCACACATACTAATTTAGTTATTTACTGGGTGTCATGGGATGGGGTCCCCAGGGATGGCCATGGTACCCCTAGGGCTCTGTGACCATGCCAATCTTGCCCAATGGGCACCCTTTTTCTTTCCTGCCACATCTTGTTTTTAGGTTTCCACATCTGGGTTTCTGTCCGGCTCATAGAGCCCTCTCCTTAGGCAGCTTCTGCTCTTAAAGGAACAGTCCCCTTAGTGCCCTGGGACACACCTCCCCACTTAAGACCCAAACTCACCAGGGTGGGTCTTCACTCTTTGTCACCCCATATCCTTCTCCTTAGGCTTCTCGTGTTCTTGCTTCTGCCATCCGACAACTCTGGAACATGGAGGCAGAGGTTTTCAGGCACCTCCTACTCACCTTTTCCCCAAGGACGCACCATGTGGGATTTGATGGGAGTTACCCCACCACGGGTAGTCCCCCCACATTAGCCAACCTTGTGGAATTTCAGTCGGTTGAACTTCCTTCCTTCTAAGATCAATGACATTCTACGTTATCTTCTCTGGGACTTTCCCCCCTATGTTCACCCTCTTTCAATCAGAGCCCTGAAATAGGATAGCTGGAACCTTCTCTCTCCTCCCAGGAGAGCTCTCCTCTATCTTTTGGGGTGCCTTCTCCCCCTCATCTTGGCCTTGGTTCTGTTCAACTACTATGTGCCCTGGTCTTCTTCTAGGGACCAGTTGTGGGGTTTCTTGTTTCCCTATGGCTCCTTGCAGGCCCATAAGTTTTCCCCAAATCTCCCACTGCATTCTTAATGCTCTCTGGGAGTATTCTTCATCCCAAAATTCTATTTTTCCCCAGCCAGTGGGTCTTCCCCTAGTTCCCATATAAATTCTTACATAGGCTACACCCCTGACCCTTACTGCAACCAGCTTCCTTAGGGTCCACCATTTAACTTGCCCTGTGAGGTTATTAACATACACCTCAGGTCTCCTTCCAGGACTTTGCTTCCCTTCCCATTTAAGTATCTTTGGTTTCATGGAACCCCCTGCTCCCTTGGTTGGGTATGCCATTTGTGTCTGGGATAGGCTTTGCCTTGGTGTGAGGCTTAGTGACCGTCCCTCATTGTGAGACTTTAGACCTGGTTCTGCTTTTTCTAAGGCCTCCTTGGGCGATTGTCCCCTTCTTCTCATCTTTGGCCCTTCAGCCTGCTTTCCCTTTTGGGGCTCAACTAATCTCCCTTTTCTAGAGTCTGTCTCTGACTCACTTTGCACTAGGCTTTGAGCCACCTGTGGTCTCTGTGCTCTAGGTTTTGGGCACTTCTCCCTCAGCGGGCTGCTTTGATGACTCAGGCCCATGGGCTTACTTCTTGTACTGGACTGCTCCCTTTTCCATGTAGTCGCTAGGTCTGCTGTATTTGCTTCAGCTGGCTGGACTCGATCTGGCACGGTGAACACTCCTTTGTTATGTCTGCTAATGAGTTCCTCCAGTTTGTCTTATTCAATCCAATTTATCTGTATGGTGACTTATCAACTGGCCCCATCTCGGATTCAGGCACCCTATTAATGCAGATAGGGCCTCTTCCTGTGTGGTTGTAGGAACTAACCCTAAGAATTCGTCCATCATAGTGCTCTTCTCTGGCTGCACTGGGCTTGCCTTGTTTATTGAATTCTCTGGGTTTGAGTATCTAGGTAGCCCCACATATTCTTGAGGCTTCCAGATCCCTAGCCACATGGCTTCTAACTTTCTCCATTCCCCTTAAAGAGTCTTTCCAGCCTCCAGCTTAAAGAGTGTCTCCAGCCTGTACAATTGCTTTTGGAATTCAGCTTTCACTGTGGCTATGTGTTCTGCCAGCCGTGCTCCCAGTGCAAACATCCTCTTTCCGATTGTGTCCAGAGCCTTTAGCATTTGAGGCTTCTGCCCTGCTTCAGCAAGTGTTGCAATACCTGCTGCATCTGGCACCTCAATCTCATAGGGATCCTGGACATTTATAATGGTGTGTTCCCTTGTCTCTCATAGTAGTTTATTCTCTTGCTCCAGTGCCTGAACTTGTTTTCTTGCAGCTTGCACCTGAAGATGTAACTGCTGTCTTTCTGCACTCATTACTGCCTCTTTAGCTGTACTGTCTTCTACAAGGGCTTTCAGGGACTGTACCTATTCCCCAAGTTGGTCCTTTTCTGCCTCCACTCTCTGTAACTGGCTCTGCCACCCATCATGCTCCTCCTTCATGGCCTTTGCCTCATTTTCAAGGGGCTGCTTCTGGTCCTGCAACACCTTATAATTCACCATATATATTTCACTTTCTCCATTTCTTTTGAAGTCACCTTTCTTGCTTCCTCTGCCTGGGAATGGCTTTTGACCAGCTTATCTCACAGTTCTTGTGCAAGGTGTGCTGCATGCATGCATCTCCATTGCCATCTCTCCAATTCCTTATGTAATCCTTCTACCTGGTCCTCTGGATCTCTTCAGCCTATACAAAAGATGACTGAGGGGTGATCTTGTGGCCGCCTATAAAATTTATCAGGGGAGGTCATCAGGGAATTGGGGATGCACTGTTTTCCAGAGCACCCCAGGGAGTAACTAGGAATAATGGGTACAAACTACTGGAGAGTAGATTTAGGTTAGATATTAGGAATTTTTTTTTTTTTTTAAAGGGTGGCCAGAGTCTGGAATGGGCTTCCAAGAGAGGTGGTGCTGTCACCTAATTTGGAGATCTTCAAAAGGAGGCTTGACAGTCACCTGGCTGGGGTCGTCTGACCTGGGTTCTCTTTCCTGCCAGGGGCAGGGGTTCGGACATGATGATCCATTGGGTCCCTTCCAACCCTATGATCTATAAATCCTCCTGGCTGTGGATTTCTTTCTGGAGAACTCCTATAAGACCCTTTGATACTTCCAGCTTCTGTAGCACTTCCTTCTGCTCCTCTGTCTGGGCTTTACAGGCTTTAGGAGACTGTATCATCTATGTCGTCATCTCCTTCTGCATCTCCTGTAGCTTCTCTTCCCACTCCCGGCTCTTCTGAGCCCCATTCACAAAGAGCTGTTCAAGTGCTCGAGTCCTCAGCCTCCACAGCTATCAAGCACCTGATTTCTTTGGATGCTCCTTCTTTCTTGCCCAATTGTGTCCACAGCTCTAAAGCAGCAACCTTTGCTTCAGCTTGCTCTTTCTGGGATTTCACCACTCCTAACGCCCACTGTAAACAGGATGCTTTTTCCTCCAACTCATCCACCCGCAATAGTCTGGTGAAGTTCTCCTGTTTCAGACCTTTCATGGTCTCTGCCTCAGCCATAACTAATACTTGGCCTTACTTCTTTCCTGGTCAGGGCCTAAAGGCTTCCCCCTATACAGTCTCTGGCAGTGGTATTCCCCCTCAGCTCTGCCTCCAGAGCTGTGGTGCTGCTGCCTTACTATAAATCTCTCTCAATCTATGTCCTAGCCCAAAGGTTCAATTCCCTTCTCAGGGACATGGGTTTCTTCCCCGTGCACAGCTGAGTTCCCGGCCAATGCACCACTTTGTCACAGGATGGGGTCCCCAGGGATGGCTGTGACTCCCCTAGGGCTCCGTGACTGTGCCAATCTTGCCCAACAGGCACCCTTTTTCTCACCTGCCATGTCTTGTTGGTAATTATCAAAAATAGGGAGGCTTCCCTCAAGATTGTTTTGACACAGTCCTGATGGACCCCACTGAACCCTATGGGTTCTTGAACCCCTTTTGGGTCCTGCACAAAATGGTTGCCTCATGGGGCACCCACAGCCTTATGGGCTAGATGCATGGCTCCAAAACTTCCCCTTTACCATGCCCCAAGCCTCGCAGATGGCATTCACACATGGTCTCTCTAAGGCCCTAGACTAGCTAGGCCTCTGGTCATCGCTGGGCTCTCTGCAGCCCTGTCTCTGCACCCACTCGGGCGCTGGGCTCTCCACAGCCCTGTTGTCACCACACCCCCTGGAACTAGGGTCTCCACGCTGCAGTAGGCCCCCAATAAGGCCTTCTCCTTCCCCGATAGCCCTTATCCACCAGAAAAACAGCAACTAAAATATTAGCCCACGGGCTATAACATAATATAAACAGTTCAGGTTGTGCTCTGTCCCTTTCAAAATGTCAAGCTTCCCCCTAGTACTAAGTGCCTTGTAGGCCAGGGTACCTGTTGAGCTCCTGGAGCCTTGTTAGCCCTGTATGCATCATATCAGGCAGTCACTGCACCCCTGGGCAATTCTTCCTTGCAGGCTCCTTCTCCTGACTGCTGCCAGAGAACGAACTCCTGTTGGCCTCAGCTCTGGGGTTTATATGTGCCCAGGGCTCTGCCTTCTTCCTATCAGCTGACTCAGTGCAGGTGCAGACTAATTCCATTGTTAACTTGTTACCATGATAACCTGCACCTGCATGGTTTCTGTCTGGCTCTTAGATACCTCTCCTTAGGCAACTTCTGCTTTCAAAGGAGCAGGCACCTTAGTGCCCTGCAACACTGGGCCTTTTATTTTGGGCTGTTCACCCAAACTGGAAATCCTAAGGGCTCTGCAGTTAGGTACTGTGACCTGGCATCAATGGTGCAGAGTCTCTTATCTCTGTTTGGGTACACTGTTCATGTTATAGAAGTAGAGGTGTACTGATACATCAGTCTGATATTGTATCGGTACCAATATAAAGAAAAATGGCTGTATTGGAAATCGGCCCAATGCAGCTGATAAATGCTGTGCATGCATGCAGCCACAGCACAGCATGCAGGCAGTGAGAAGCCCAGCCCAGCAGCATGGAGAGCTGCAGCATGCAGCTGGTAAGTTCATTGTGGTGGAAGGGGAGCAGGGAGGGAAGAAGCGTGGCTAGGGGAGATCAATTTCCCCCCTACCCCCATAGTGAGGGTGGGGGCAGGGGTAGCAATTACCCAGCTGGAGTGGCATGGGGCACAGGACAGAGCCATGCTTAAGTGGGGGGTGGCTCGTGTTGCTGCTGCATCCACCCCAGGAAGGCATGGGTGAGGTATGTGCCCCTGGATCTCTACGGGTCAGGTTGGACAGGCTGCAGCTGTGGGCTGAAGCTGGGGTGCACTGGACTCCTCTCATCAGGGGCTGGGTTCAGGGTGGGGGCTACAGAAGGGGCTGCAGCCACCCCAAATTTTGCTGTAGCTCCCTTCCAGCACTGCTGCCACATGGCCGGCAGAACCCTGGCTCTTCCCAGCTCAACCCCCACCTCCCCCCACCTACCAGCACATGCCCCCCCCACTGCCCCCCCCGGATGTGG